GGTGACATTGCATGATTGCTGCAAGCAGCATAGGAAAGAGTTTTTAATATTCGTTTAAAGAGATCCTTTTCCATTTCAAAATTCTGTAACTTTTTTTTATAGAAAACCTGGTTGTATCAGCGTCATAATGAACATTATTTTATGTATAGGGCAGCATCACTAAGCGACTGCCTGTTAAATGAACTGGAGAAATCTGCACCTACAAGCATTGAGCTTATATTCTTACCAAAGGTCTATTTTAGCAGTGAACACCATTGTGATGGTGTTCACTGCTGTTTACAAGCATTGAGCTCATATTCTTACCAAAGGTCTATTTTAGCAGTGAACACCATTGTGACATGTAAAGGCACAGCTCCGTCTCTGTGGAATGTGAAAACAGCATTCTCTTTATTTTCAAGCATGAGTGCCGACGCAGATGAGTGAGAGTGACGTTTGGTGTTGTCAAGAAGGTGCTTTATATCGCTGTTTAAAAATGCAATGACTGCGGTGGTCGTTCAGACTGCAGATAATGTTTTGTAATCCCACTACCTTCTATAATTGTGCACATTGGTCTGAATGCCAGAACTGACAGAAGAAAAAACAACTGACATTGAGGAAACTTGCTGCAGATGCATTGCTCAGCTGTGTTGCCTGCTTTCCACAACAGGTTGTGGCAGCTCTCGATTCTATACATTGGTGCCCATTGTCAAATTCAAATAATGTAGTTTTATTTTACACAGACTGGAGTTGCACCTTAAAAGTTTTCATGGGAATCTGTGTCTCAAAAAGAAAACCTTTGAGAAGTTCAGCTTGCTAGATGAAGGCACTAATTCTTCGAGCTCATTTTACAGCCTACCTTTCTATTGACACCGCCCTATGCGGAGAGTAAGTTATCTGCTTCTTGCACAGACATTACGGTGATGTCAGAAGGGTGACGATCTCTCATTGGCTTTGATTGGAAGGATATAGTGGGTAGACCACAATGCTAGACACCATGAGGTCTACGCACTATTTTTTTTGTTCAATCAGCCAATAAGAGCTCGGCCTTCTGACATTACCCCAACCCCTGTGCAAGAAGCAGACAAACTTGCGCTCCCCATAAGATTACGGATACTCAAGAGTGCTTTCCGTAATATAAGTTACGGAAAGCCTACTCTGTTTGCCCTTTTACCGACAACTTTTATGCACTTTTACGGATACTAGAGCGATTTCCGTAATAGGTTTTACAAAATGCATATTCCAGTCCGTTTTATGGACAGCTCTTGAATAGCGTTACGGATAATATAGCACTTTCCATAATCTGTTTTGCGGAATGTCCTTTTATTTACGGATTGTGTATATGTTTAAAAGGATTTTTCCGTTATTAGAATTACGGATGACCTTTCCGGCAGCATAGGTGCCAGAGAATTTCTCCGTAAAAGAGGCAAATTTTTTTACAGATGGGCTATTGGCATTACCGCTATGTCGCAGCTCATTATTATTGTTTCATGAAGAGCGCAGACAAAAAGCATCCGTGAGCATAGTTCAGATATGTCTGCTGCTCGTGTTCATCCATGGAAGCAAGGGACTGCCTGTCGTAGCATGCATGCTTGCTCTCTAGCTTCAGCTGAGTCGCATACGTTTTGTGAATTAAGGTATACGGTCGTCTCGAAAGGTTCAGACATCGAGGGCGTTTCTCTGAAACATGCTTTGGGTGCACGTGGGCCCGTTTGTGAAGGAATGTCCCAGTTGCCTAAAAGATAAAATTTCAAAAGTGAAAAAAGAAAACAAGAAATAAGGACGGGTACACACTTATTCCCTTGTTCGAATTCAATATGAGCAGCTGTCACCATTGCTGAGAAACCCTCAGCTCCGGCATTAGGTTCCAAGTTGTTATAGCATTTTTGAACTTCTGCATTGGAAATGACGCAATAACATTGGTAAAATGTTTGCTTTAAAAGTGAGAATGTCTGCCCCAAAACCAGTTTTTGCCTGCTACAAGAGCTCCAAATCACCATTTGTCAGTTTCACCATTGCAGTTACCACCTGCTTTAACTTAATTTATTTTAACTGTGCTGTTTGTTTGACCTTTTCAGATTGAGCATCGCTCAAGGCAGGCGTTTTCTGTGACCTAATAAAGATACAACAGGTTTGATTTTGCATTTTACTTGTCATTTTATTGGCTGTTCTCCTTGAAGTTAACTTGCAGTGATCCTATGGCAGTCGAAAGTATGTAATAGTTTCTCTGGCAACGCTGCAATTTGGTTAGGCTATCCTATCAGCTCAGCAGTGATCACAATCACACCTTCCATCAAATATGTTCCATCAAAGACCACCGCAATACGTTCCATCAAAGACCACCGCAATACGTTCCATCAAAGACCACCAGAGTACGTTCCATCAAAGACCACCACATACGTAATTTGGGACATTCCATCAGTGGCAGTCAGACGTCGTCTGATGGACCATCAGGGCACGTTCCACCAGGGCTGCTGACTGGCAGTCAGTGTCCCAAATTACGTACCTTGATGGAATTTTCAATAGGGTTCTGACGGCGCCGTCAGAGGCGTTTAATAACAATTGATATATAGGTCGCGACATATTTGCCAGCATGTGATGAGTCGCGGGCTCGCGAGGTGCTGACACAACTATGTCACGCGATTTGTCTTTACTCACTGAGTCCCCGATTCACCGGCAACTGTGCGTTCGTCTGCAATCACGCACCGTGGAAACCCGTACTCACGGTAGGGTTCATCGTTTCGCATATGCTTCATCTACGCCTTTCATTACCAACGGAAGGTGGACAGACTTTTCGTCGACACATTAACTTTTATAGACACGGCACCCCCCGAGCCCCGCAACCGTTGTGCGCATCGGACGGTCGCGGCGGCAGTTAAGTTCAGCTTCCAAACAGACCGCGCGGCCATTGCTTTGCTTTACTTTGCTCGAAGGTTAAATAGTCGGGGGAATGCGCCACCGCCTCGCTGAATGAGCGGCCCAAAGTCGAGGAGGCTCCGCAACTTTGCACGCTACGAAATAGGCGATTTGAGGCTATGTCGCGATAAAAAAAGCTGTCGTTGAATCTCGCGTATGATATATGATGGGCCGCAGCCGCGTGGTCAATGGGTTGATGTGATTTTTTTTATTAAGGAAAAGCCTTATATGTCTCGTCGTTCAGACGACCTTAAAAGTTCTTGAGCGGAAACACGTCGAGTCACGAAAGGTGCTAAAATTGGCGACACGAAAGGTAGAAAAACCTGCATTATTCAGTATTCAGCTGCACTAGAACCCTTTTGGACCAGGGCGGTCGTTAACGAAGCAGCTTCGCAGGGGTTTTAGACTGAATTAAAGTTTTCAACACCACCACCACCGCCACCATCATAGATATAATAAAAATTAAAAAAAAAAAACACAACACACAAAAAATGAAAGCCGCTTACAACTCCCTGTAACGCCGAATTAGAGCGCAGCTCTTGAGGAGGAGGAGGCAAGGGCACTGGGGGGGGGGTTAAACTAACCAGGGGGGGGGGGTCACGTTACCTTCGGGGTCACGTGACCCCCAATGCCGATGATGTCATCACTGACGTCACTGATGACGTCATCAGTGACGATGACGATGCGGGTACCGATGACGTCATTAGTGACGTCACTGATGACTTCACCAGTGATGATGACGATGACGATGCGAATGTCGGTGACGTCATCAGTGACGTCGCTGATGACGTCATCAGTGATGATGACGATGACGATGCGGATGCCGGTGACGACATCAGTGACGTCACTGATGACGTCATCAGTGATGATGACGATGACAATGCGGATGTCGGTGACGTCATCAGTGATGATGACGATGTGGATGCCGGTGACGTCATCAGTGATGATGACGATGACGATGTGGATGCCGGTGACGTCATCAGTGATGATGACGATGACGATGTGGATGCCGGTGACGTCATCAGTGACGATGACGATGACGATGCGGATGCCGGTGACGTCATCAGTGATGATGACGATGTGGATGCCGGTGACGTCATCAGTGATGATGACGATGACGATGTGGATGCCGGTGACGTCATCAGTGATGATGACGATGACGATGCGGATGCCGGTGACGTCATCAGTGATGACGATGACGATGTGGATGCCGGTGACGTCATCAGTGATGATGACGATGACGATGTGGATGCCGGTGACGTCATCAGTGATGATGACGATGACGATGTGGATGCCGGTGACGTCATCAGTGACGATGACGTCATCGGGGGGTCACGCGACATCGCCGGGGGTCACGTGACCTCGAGGAGGGGGCCACGTGACTTCGGGGGGTCACGTGACCCCCCACGAGGTCACGTGACCTCGGTGGGGGGCTCGCGCAGTGCATTATGGGACATTTCCCATGATGCACCGCGCGGTTACGCCGACGCCGACGGCGACGGCGACGGCGACGCCGACGGCGACGCCGCTCAAGCCGGAAACGGGCCCCTAAGAGCTGCGCTCTAAAAGTTTTTTTCTTTATCCTGGGGGGGAGTCGAACCAGCGCCCTCTCGTTCCGTATGCCGACGCGCTACCCCTGCGCCACGGACGGAGGACTGTCGAGGGGCGTGTAAATTATGAGTTAGTCTTTAATGTATCCGCTACTGCCGACGCATCGGCTACTTGCGGCGCCAGTTTCTTTATACGCAGTGTTGACACGACATATTTCTCTCAAAAATGTTCTCATTCAAGTTCATAAGCAGTCTTCGACACTCGACGATCCGTTAATTTTAATGTATACTTTATATTTTGAAAAACGTTCGCCGCTTATATCCGTTCGAGCAACTGCGTCTTCAAAAGCTTCGAATCCAAATCCAAATCCAGTTGTTTCGTGCGCTTTGTTGTCTCGGCAGCCTCACCTTACCTCGTGGAGTGTTTTCGAGGTTTTAGATATTTCAGTAGGTTTCACTCGATTTTGCGAGAACGGGGAAATAAGCGACGTCCACAGGGCTTTATTTAAAAACTGCAATCCTTCGAATGTGGTCTACTTTGAGCGTAGGACGGCGTACAAGGTGTCTTGGGACGGCGACGCGAACACTCGAGGATACTATTACGACGCCGAGATCCTCGAACTGACGGGTGAGTGTGTATTTTTTACCATCCCAAAGTGCGACGTAGCCACAAGCAATCGCCGTTTTCTTTCTTTTTTATTGCGACTGTAATTGAAAGTGAATATTGTAGACTGCTTATATGGGGCACCAAGCTAGGCAGATGAATGCAGGGGCTAATACTTCAGTTGAGCGTGTGGACTGAACTGCCTTGCACGTGACATCATATGGCACCCTGCAAGCCGCCATTGCTCCTGTGCCTTAAGTCCGCGCTAATTTACTCGTACTCCACCGTTCCGAGTTTCACACTCCGAGCGCAGCAACTAAACGAAGCATAGCGTACAGTAGCGCAACACACCGAAGCTGTCGGCGAGCTGTATGAGCCACTTCCGACCACAGTTTTATGACGAACCCAGCATCTCGCGGATGCCAAAATTATTTTGAAGATAAATTAATTAAGGGATCTGTAAAATAGTAAAGTAAAAGCCCCCCCCCCCCCCAAAAAAAAAAAAAAAAAAAAGAAATGAAATGCGCGGCGACGTTAGGAAATTTTTACGAATGTTTTAATATTTGTGAAAGGTTTGAGGACTCGCTTCGACCAGATATGCTGAATGTTACTTTGACCAATCTATTTATTGACCATGCATGCTGTTTAGGTTCAAATGAAAGACAACATTCTTGAACTCGCTTGTCAAAACAAGAAACTCTCAAACTTGTCAGATATCTTGGGTTTCAGTCTTCCAGCGCGAGACGGAACCTGTCGATGTGCTACTCCAATACTGGCACACCACCGTTCAATACATAGCACATTAATTAGTTTTCAGGCGAGATGCATGGACAAACTTTTTCCGCAACGTTTTCGCTTTCCAATCGAAGTATCTTTATTCGCAGGGCTGTGCATTCTACAAAGGGCAGCGATCGGACTGTCCTCTCATCTCGACAACTTTTCTGTCGCTGTACCATCATAACGCTACTGTTCGATGGGTAATTCGTTTTCAGGTGAGATTCGGGAACAAACCTTTTCCGTAATGGTCCTGGCTTTGAAATCAAATCATTTTACTCGCTGGGTTAAGCATTCTTCAACTGAAATGAGGCAGCGATCCACTGCACTCCTCGTCTCGGCGACGTTTCTGTCAGCGCGAAGAAATGACTTGCACTTCGAGAAATACTCGGTGCAAAAAGAGCACGCTTGAGTGTCAGTCCTTTGGTGGCGCTTCTGTCCATTTAATGAACAGAGCGCCAAACTCTTGCGCTCCGCAGCACAAACTTAGGCGCACAATCGTGGCTGATTCAATGTCAATTCATGCGAGTCATGTAATACATGGCTTGCATTGATGTTGCATCAGCTGCCATTGCTTCCTGACCAATTTATTTATTCATGATCACAAATGTACAGTCGGGGACAAGAGTCCCCAGGACGTGCTAGCTGCGGCTGAAACCCATTGCTCTGCCACCTGCCGGCGGGTCGCCTGGTTTCGAGATCACAAAAGCGCATGCGCGTCCTACTCTGCCTGCAAACATGTGCGTTTCCTGCCCTTCTGCGGCACAGGACCTAACTAGGAATCGGGCACATGGTACTGCCTCGGAGATAGCGCTGGCGGCTGACGAGCGTCTGCTATACATTCCAAAACTCGAGATACCGCCTGGGGCATTGCGCCGCATTTCGTCGTGTCAGCGCACCTTGCTTTATAACCAGTTCAGCTTATCGCTTAATTGAGCTGCCGTGACTTCTTGCTTTATAGGTGCCATGTCAGTAAGCACTATCTCCGAAGTGGTACCACGCGCCCGATTCCGAGTTAGGCGCCGCGCCGCAGCAGAGCGGGAAAGCGCACACGTTGGCAGGTACAATAGGACGCACGTGCGCCCTTCTGTGATCTCGAAACCAGGTGACCCGCCGGCAGATGGCAGAGGAATGCGTTTCAGTCGCAGCTTGCGTGTCCTGGAGACTTTTGTCCCAGACTGTACCTACAAGAAACCCAAGAGGAAATGGCAACTGAACTGGCCAGGCGCAAACAGGCAGCTGAAGCATCTGCAAGTTCACACAAAGCTGCTCCTCCCAGGAACGTCAGCCCTTGTGCCCTTTAACGCAAAGCAGTTTTTGTGGAAATTTTGTCACCAGAATATCATTACCTGTCTATGTAATGTGGTACAGCCTATTTTTTCTGGGAGTGTCCAAAAGCTAAATCTTAGCGCTAATTAAATTTTTAGATGCGGTTTATGTCAGGACAAAAGCTGAAAGTGACGATGTTGCAAAACTCTCAAAAGCAGCGCCAGCCACATAGGCTGGCGCTGCTTTTGAGCAGTGACCGAAACGGGCACACAACTGACCAATCCAACTGATGCAGAAAGAGAGCTGGTCGTGCACAAAATGTGAGTGTGGAAAGCAGCTTGGGAATCCCAACACTGCGTAATGTCATGTCGAGTCCTTAACATTTACACTTCCTTGGGATTGCTCTGTTTCACCACTCAGTCAAGGCTTTGCAGTTTACCAAGCCTTTTTTATTTCACAAAGGCCAGTAAGGCAGTCGGGAGTGACAAGGAAGACAAAGAATCAACTAAATCACAAAGAAGAAAAATAGCACAGGGATCCAGTTTGATGCCGGCAACAATGTGTTGTCATGATTTGTTGATGAGGAATGCCATGCTTTCTGCCTACACCCCAATGTGCGTGAGAATGCTGCTAGGGGGCACACCGGCAGAGCTGCTAGAAACACCTTTCTCTGACTTACCCTGCTCTATCAATTGCAGGACTACCTGCGGCTCGGCTGTTGATGCGGGAGGTGCTGTAGGGCCCTACTGCCTAACACGTAAGTCATTTATGGCCTGACCTCTGGGTACTCGTATGTTTAGCGTACTAACAGAACCCATGCTTTAGCATTAAAAAGGTAACTTTTTTAATGAACTTGCAGTATGAAATAAGTTTGCTGTGCGGTGATAGAGCCGAACATGTCGTATGCAACACATCGCTTATATCTTGCATAGAGGATATTCATTCTTAAAGGGTGGAAACAATAATGCTGAGAAAGAAGGCATAAACGGCAAAGAGCTCTCTACTCTACTGTTGTGGCTGCGCTCTGTTGCTGAGCAGAATGACCGAGAAATGTCCTTCCTACGTCATGACTACGTAGCAAGTTCCCCAATGTTGCTAGATTACCTCCCAAATAGGCTCTACATGTATCCACCAGGTGCACATTGAAAGATTGTTTGATTAGCTTTAAAATTAGTTTGCTTGTGCCCTTCAGCAAAAAACTGGTATTTTTGAGGTTATGTTGCAACCTGCAACTCATTAAAGCGATAAAATGAGTGCTGGAATTTGGTTTCTGTACCTCTTTAGTGTGAAATTGTTTTTTTCAGTTGCTGACGAGGAGATCCTTGCAAAGAATGAGATCGTGGATCCTAGCATCGGCCTCCAGAAAAGGAAGGAATGGTAAAATAGAAAAACTTTTCACTTTCATTCAGTGTATAATATACATTAAAAGAGTTTAGGATAGTGCAGGGGTGGCCAGAGTGACATGGAGTTAGAGCCGCAGACAAAACTATGAAAGTTTAGAGTCGCTGGAAAAAAGAAAGGGGGGGGGGGGGGCTACTTTTAACAAGAAACAATTTGGAGGGAATAGTTATTTCCATAGAGGACAAGTATAATGGGCGATAACAACAAATGACACTATGCATCAGAAGGTCCTTTCCACTGCTAAGCAAAAATTAATACACGATTCACTAGCCAGTCACTGCCCCTGACAACTGTTACGCGTATACGGTTGAAAGTCTTTTTAGAACAATAAAGGAAACAGGGTCACTCGACGCATCTATGTGGCAAAAAGCATTCCAGGTGAATATATGTAGTGTGTTGCCAGGCTGCCAAGACTTGTAGCTCTTTCTAAATTCTAGAACCAGAACCCTTTTCAGCCGCGTGCGGCTCGCGAGCCTCACTTTGGCCACTCCTGAGATAATGTAAGCACAGTAGATTGAATCGATTGCAACAAGAAGTCATTAAAACATTATTGTAGCCAGGCTCTTAATTGTAGTTACAGCCAGTGCCTTGAAAACATTCTGTTGTCATGCTCACCTGATGCAACTAAGGGATTATGTAGCTGTTTCATGCAGATGCCATGAAGCTTTGTAGGCCCATCAGCTTCTCAGACGCCCATGAAGATAGGAATTCATGTGTAGTGCTGTCTTAAATTTAAAAGCCTACATTTCATTGATGTAATTATTTTAGTGCATTTTCAATGCATCTTGGAGTATACAGTACCACTCTACGTCAACGACTGGTATATGTGAAGCTGTTTCTCGCTTTTGTTTATAACAGATCCATGTCGGGCAAGGTGTGCACGTCAACCAGGAATGCGGGCAACATGCGGAAAGCAGAGTGCGACTCCATGTTTCGCAAGAACACTGCTGCTTCCATAGGGTGAGTGGAAGTGCTTTTGGAGAGGTCGGTGACCGGCACCCTCTCCAACAAGGCAAAGGCAGCGAGGCAAGAGAAGGCGTTTGCCCCGCTCACTCAGCGCAAGGTGCAGGCTCTCTCATTAAGCAAACATTTTTAAAATCTTGATATGAATCTCGCGGAGTCGCGTAAAATATTTCATGCTAAATTCGTATCGACGAAAGAGAAACAAAATTTATATTTTGAAACACAAGGAATGCATGAATGTGCATTTATTTATGGCAGAAAATATCTTGTATGCAATTTACATGATTCTAACACGCCCCCGATAGTAACACACGGTTAAAATCAACCCACGAATGTTGAAAAAATGAATTAATGTCGATTCTACTGCGCAGATAAATGTCGATTCTACTTCGCAGATAAAATAATGACGGCTGGACAACATACACTTTGTGGAAAACATTTTATCAAATGCACATACTCGGAAAGTGCCCACACTATGTGCTGTTGAAGCCCTACATCAAAAACTTGCAAGCAAAAATTCGGTTTCTTTGTCTTTCCAACCAAGCTCGCATGTCACCATGGACCACACCGAAGACACCACCAACATCACTCGGTTTTCTGTTTTTGCCAACGCAGTTATTTTGTTTTTTAGAGGTAACCTTGCAGTAAAATCGGTTTTGCTTTTACAAGGCTGAAACACCATTCCACGAGATCGCAAAAACAAAAAAAGCGATTTTGGATTCAGATTGGATTGGATTTGAAACATGTGTTGATGGTGATGGGGCTGGCCACTTTGCACAGTTTTTTTTTAGCATTTTGTTTAGTTTTGGTTTTTGGGTCCGATTGTAACATGCATGTAATTTTGAGCTCCAGTTTTTGGGTAAAGTGCGGCTGATCCCTGGCAGCAACACGCAATCAGCCGCCTGGAGCCTGGAAAGCTTACAGTCGCCGATCGTGGCCTCCTTGCCACTATCAGTTGTGGAGCACGCATTCGTGTCAGCCGTCGCAGCGCGTAGAGGAATTCGGAACACCCAAAAATTTTGTTGTCGTATACAATGCACTTTGGCCGAGGAATTTGTTAATTTGTTTTATTCCGAAACTCGTACCAGTTAGTATCACCGAGATTTTACTCTAGTAGGTTGTCTGCTAACACCTGGACATGTGATGGGGGTACCCCGCCAAGAATGAGTCAATCATAACAGATAATAACCGTAAATATTCGCACATTTGTATTTTGAACAGATAATTTTATTTTTCGTTCTAAGCAACAAACTCGAGCAAGTGCTCGAAGAGAAGTCAACGGAGAGCTCGATGCGTCGTGGGGTATCCGGCAAAGCTGGCGTGGCTACGAGCTGTGCCGTTCGGGTGCATAGTGGTGGTGTAGACGTGTTACAGCCTAGCCATTTGAAACACCTGTGGGCTTTACGTGGACCAAAGCGGACTAAGCCGTCTAAGCGCCTATGTGTGAGATAAGTAATGTCAAGGTCATCGCGTTCAGGGCGAGATTACTCCAACAGTTGAGTATACCTCCAAACAGCGGCGCTGCTTCGATGTGTAGTGCAGCTACATAGCGGTTTTCGCCATGTCATGACTACGTCCACGATCCCCAACATTGCTAGATTACCTCCCAACGAAGCTTCAGAGGCCTCCACCAGGTGCACATTGAAAGACTGTTTAATTACCTTTAAATTTAGAGCCAGGCCATCAATGGAAGATCTTTCAAGGAATGTGAAAGATTGTGTTATATAGAACTGCATTGTTCTTTCTGGTGCTCATGATGCTATTTTTTTAATTCTTTGGCGTGTCTAAGTTGTTACCACAGCGAGGGATGATAACCAAGTATAAGCAGTTTCCAACGTACATTGTCTACTTATCTACAGTTGTAGCTCCTATTTCTTACAAGGTCACTAGCCTAGCAGTGAGATTTATAGACATGGGCTACCTGTTTTGTGCTTAAAAGAATCTAACAGAAGCCAGGGTGAGCTGTCTATTGGGAGTGGAACATAAATCAGGGTACTGCGGTACTTTTGCTTTCATGGTGATCTCTGAACACTGTAAATACTAAGAAACATTGAAGGCTTGTTAGGTGCCAGCTGCCACTTAATTGCTTTTATTTGAGACTAATTTACCCTTTGTTTTCTCAAACTATGACCCTCCAGCCTGTATTTATGACGTTCTATATTGTTTTAAGTCTGAGCTCTGCAAAAAATAATTACCCTGGAATTTCAATATTCCAGGCTGCTTTTGACTACACCTGAGGAAGAAAGGCACCGCCAGGCTGAAAGGGCAGCCCGGCACCAGAAGATACGGCGGTACCTGTCAGAAAAGCTGTCCAATCTCAAGAGAAATCACTACAAAGGTATGTGCATCTATACTCTAACTTCCTTAATTAAGTAATATACTATTTTGGGTCTTAAGTTTACAAGCAATTATTTTAAATGATGGTTCAGATAAATTATATAGAGGTTAATATATCTAGATGTTTATGCAAACAACTTTAAAGTAGTCTGTTGATCAGCTGATCACTTGAAAAAGGCTGTGGGTTGCTTGGTCGCTACTGCCATCCCATCAGGCCGTGCTCGCTCACTCTCCAAAAAGTTGCATGGTCACACAATTACAAAGAAGCACGTCACTCTTACTGCCCCTTAGTCGTCTCTAGGTCCACTCTGCTGTTTACGTATGTCAATGGTCGTCCTGTGTTTGGACTCAGTGCTGATCTCTGAATTGCCCTTGATATGTCCAGGCTCATCCCTTTGCTGCCTGTCCTCCCCCGATGCGTGGTCCCACCACGGACTGCCCATGCTCTTGCAGGTCTGCCATCGCTTGCACCCCATGTTGTAGCCTTTTTACCCTTTTCTTCACATTAATTTAGCTTAATTTATATATTGCCAATACTATTGAAATGGAACAAATGTACTATCGCAGCCAATATGAGCTGAAACGCCACTGCACGTGGCACGCGATGAGAGTTGTCTCTCAGATTGTTCAGCAAACCTTGGTATGCGTTGAGGTAGAAACAAATCACTTCTTGTGCTCGTTGCACCACTATGCCGTTCCGTGTCAATTTTCAGCTCATAGTGGCACAATGAGTGCAAGAAGCAACCTGCCTAAACCTCAGCAAACACAGAGGTTCACTGAAAATCCGACAGGTGGCTCTGATAGTACCACACGCCAAGCGTCATGGCGCTTCAACTAATATTGGTCACAATAGTACTTCCTCAAATGTTTCTGCTTTTTTTGTACCACCTAGCCATTCCGCCCAGCGAAACAATGTATGATTTCATAACTTCATAATAAAAATATCAAAGCAATGCAGCTTGTTTGACTTTATTCTTATTAGTAGCTGCATTCGCCGTACTCAAATGTCGGGCTGGCGATTACCAGTGTGCAGTAAACAATATAATTAAATTCTAAGTGGGATATGCACCTCGTCATGCTCTAGGCATGGCATAATTAAGTTTCCAGATTATGCATTCACATATTGTTGTGTTTTTTAAGTTGTGGCCAACTCGAACTGTTTCAAATTAGTCATGAAACCACCATTATCAAACCGTAAAAAAATAGGCGTCTCAAAATACGACAGGTCATTCGACCATCAGACCAAACCAACAGACCATCAGGCCATCAAACCATCAGGCCAACAGACCATCAAACCATCAGGCCAATAGACTATCAAACCATCAGGCCAACAGACCATCAGGCCAATAGACCATCAAACCATCAGGCCAACAGACCATCAGGCCATCAAACCATCAGACGTCCCAAAATACGACTCCATGAGACCATCAGACCATCAGGATTTTCCTGATGGTCTTTTCGATAGGGAATGACGTCGCAAAAGCCCCATTATCATGCTGTCGGACGTCGCTATCCTGGTGGTAGTCGTAAACGTTACGGCAAAATGCACGAGCAAACGCAAGTGTCGCCAGCCGGGTGCAGCTACAGTATCCACTGTGGTTGCGAAACGCATGCGACAAGAGCCGTTGCGGGAGAATGGAGAACTAGGTCTCGGTAGAAATTAAAAAAAGTGCACTACGCTGTCCACAGATGACGCTGACGCCCTTCCCCCCTCCGCTTTTTCCTGCCTTCCTCTATGCCGCGTGGTTCGATTGTGATTTTCAAAGATAGCGTGTTTGTGCCCGGAACATTTGAAAAAATTTACAACCCCACAGGGTTACAGGTACTACACCGCATTATAAAAGAAAACAAAGAAATCAACGAAATGTTCATTTGTATTTTAAAACGAACAATACAGTTTCCGAGAGGTTAGGTTCTTCCAATAAATAGGTAACAACTTTGTTTTGCAAATACACAGAAGAAACAAAGCCTATATCAACTCCATGTGTGGTTGCTTGCGCACGTTTTAGAATTCCACAATTAGCGAGACTAATTTACAGTCCTCGTCGAGGTTAAAACCTCAATAAAAAATATACGCATTTATAAAGAAAAGATCGCAATTTTGAATATATGGGCATTCGCGGGCCACTTCATTAAGCTTTTGTTTTTGTGTTCTACGACTGCTGTAAATGATACATTTGACTAGTACACTGCGATCGCTTGCCTTGAGGTTCTCAAGGCAAGCGATCGCAGTATTGAATACACGAAAACAAGCATGTTAAATGCTCACCCACATCAACATAGGCAGAAAAGGGAATTGAATTACTAACTAATTATCGGCATTTGCGGCTAATATTAACAACCAATAAAGGCAAAGAGCAGCCTACATTGGTTGGGGAATGGAATTATTTGTCAAAAATGATCAAAATCGTTATTAATAGTTAACTTTCCTTGGGGTTATGTGAAAGTCACCACTCCAGTTGACACGGCCGTCTCAAAATATGAATAACAGCTATAGCAGTGCCACTGTTTAATGGACAAGCCATAATTCGTGGCAGCCTTCGAAGAATTTTATATGCCACAGAGTGCGTATGCATAATACCTTCTCGAAAGGGTCTATCTTACGCATAATTCGCGTTAATTTTTAACCAATACGAATGAGGAGTGGGATCTGTGTTTGA